TAGAAACCCAGTACCTGGAATAAGGTCTGAGGCATTTTGGTCCACTGGCAATCTGTTTCCCCTTGACTAGTAAGTTTCTACTCTGAACCACTAATTAACACTATAAATTCCCCCACAGGAATTGTGGCTCTTTTCTAGAATATGGGGCCCTGAAATTCTACATAGCTCTTGCCATGGGAATGCTGGATCTCATTTCCCTGGTTGTTGGCTGAGTCCTAGTCCCAAGGCTTGGGGATTTGGAACTCGGCACAGCCAAATACTTGACTTTGGGTAGCTCTGCCATCTAGAAAGTCTTGTTGTTATGACTTACCTACTGGATTTGATCCTTTCACATATCAATGCCATGCTTCTTTAGACTTTAGATAGATAAGATGGTTCCTTGGAGTCTATTCTGACTCATGATGACCTCACATACAAGGGAAGGAAACATGCCCAATTCTGCATCATCCTCATGATCACTAGCAAGTTCAAATCCATCTTTGTGGCTATTGTGCCAACCCATATCACCCAGGGTCTCCCTTGCCTTAGATCGCCCTCAACTTAAACAAGCATGACGTCCTCCTCCAGCAATTTATCCCTCCTAATAACGTGTCCAAAGCAAGAGAGTCGGACAATATTCTGTTGTGATCCATTAGGTTTTCATACACTGATTGCTGGAAGTAGATCACCAGGCCTTTCTTCCTAGTCTGCCACCACCCATCTGTTCGTTTGTCATATAGTGGTGACTTCTGTGTTGCTGGATGCTAGAAGCTATGCCACCAGTATTTCAAATACTATCAGGGTCACAGACGATGGACAGCTTTCAATGGAACTTCCAGACTAAGACAGACTAGGAAGAAAGGACTTTTAGACCTTACACATGATCATTTAGATTGCCAGCCATCTCCCTCAGTGGCCTACCCTATGGAAGGGTCAACAGCCCCAATCTACATGGTCCTAGCTTCCCACCAAATTTTTAAAGCCCAGCCCTGCTAAGTTAGATCATTCTTATCCATTTAATTCATAAAACAACTCAGTGAGATAGAAATCATTACCTCCACTTGACTGTTAAGAATTTTAAATTTCAGAGAGTCTGTTACAGGACATACCCAAGGTCACACAACTAGGAAATGGCAGAGTTGGAATTCACACCCAAGTCTTGCTATTCCCAATGTCGTATTTCTCCACTATGTTAGGTTTTCATTTATCTTATAAGGAAGATTGCAAGAGACTTATAACACACCTCTCCACCTTCCAAATCATCTATTCCTTGCCGAAAAAGTACTTTCTAAACCTTCACTGCCATCATAAAAATCCTATGCTCTAGAAGTTCTGTAATTTCCCAACTCAGTTACTTATGAAATAAGTACCAATTCCTTGAAGGTCTCCATAACCTGGATTCAGCCTGCCTATCAAAGTGTAGCCCCCATATCACTTCATAATTAAGCCAGACCACACCTCCCCCTGCCCCTCAATAAATCATCCTAGGTTGTACCTGAAATTCTCTGTTTCTTTTTCTAATTAAATCTACTCAACTTCTTAGAGCCCAGTTCAAATCCAACCACATACACACACACACACACACACACACACACACACACACAAGCCTACAAGCCTTCTGGGACTTCACATACCAAAAAACTGATCCTGCCCTTATGACAACTTAGATTCTAATCATATCAGGACTTTAACACAAATTGTGTTATATGATTCTTTTTTATCCCATAGGTGACTCACTGAAATTTGCCTCCTCTAAATCCCGTAACACTTTGTACTTCTTGCAGGGGACTTACCACATTCTAAACCTCATATCATCATGACTTTCAAGCACCTTTACAACAGAGATGTTTTGTCTTATATAAGTTTGCATCCCCTCTTCCAAGCCTAACACAGTGGCTTAAATACAGTAAGTGTTCAATAAATGAATGAATGAAAAAAATGAGTAAGATAATGATGAAAGAAGGGAGAAAAAGAGGAAAGGTTTTGCACCAGTATCTAACTTGATATAGCAATAAAATCTAAATCCTCATACATGCTAGTTAAGGTTGGAGATTAAACCATATTCCAAAAAATGTTACATATCATGTTTGTCTGGATAAGAATGCAAAAAATTTCACAGTACATTTTCCTCCATAATTAAAATACAATATTTAAATGATTTTCTGGACCAAATAAATTTCAGAAAAAGTATTAAATTGTTAACATACAAGATGTTCATAACAAAGGCTTTTTAAGTCCCTTGCTTTTTAATTTATAAAATTTATTAATACTGCAGCATTTCTTCTTCTTTTTTTTAACTACAATGAAGAAAAGCTCCAAAATAAAATTCTTATGTCTTTTTGATTAAGAAATTGATTGCAGAAAAACTATCTCTTAACAATATACAATATCTTACACATTAAAGGGCCAGATCATTTAGGTCACTGAATTGGGGATGAGGGGAAACCATGCTATCAATTTTTTTTTCAATTAAACACTAATTTCAAAGGAATTAATGCACTAGCACTTAAAAAGGCCTAACGTATTTTAGTAACTTCTAGCTTAAAAAAGAGATTACCTGTCAATTTAGCAAATATTTTGCCTATGCAGTGTCAAACATCTGAAAGACTTAAATTTTCTGATTTCTTCCATTTGCTTAGCTTTGCGTAAATACATTCTGCAGTACAATTTCATCCATTAGTTTGGCAAAGCGTAAATAATAGGCAGATAATCTCTTCTGTCTGCCTTCACTCTGGAATAGATACACTGTATTTGTTTTAAAGCTCAAATATGATGTTTTTAAAATAAGATGATATTCTGTAACTATAAAGTGTGATTCAAATTTGAGGCAGAAGTATATTTTTTGTATATTATTAAGGATGGTACTAATCTCTGTTCTAACAGAGAAAAGAAGTGCTTGAATTGTCTTAGATATCTATAAAACCCTTTGTTGTTAAGTTGATTTCGACTCATAGTGACCCTATAGGACACAGCAGAACTGCCCCATGGGGTTTCCAAGGAGCAGCTGCTGGATTCGAACGGCCGACCGTTTGGTTAGCAGCTGAACCCTTTAACCACTGCGCCACTAGGGTTCCTAAATATCTATAAAGTAGGCAAAAATTTCAAAGTACAATTTGTTAATTATACTCATCCATTAATGTGATCATGTTTGGCTTAAGGACTTCTTTTCTCTACTAGCAACTCTGCCAGATACCGTCAGAGCTCTCCTCCTCTTCGCTCCCTTCCTCCCACCTTGCCTCACCCCACCCCTGGCTGGCTTCCCTGAGGATCATTCGTTCCTTCTGTGACAAAACAGTTGAAGTTTAACTATACTGAGATGAAAGTTATACTCATCGTTTCCCTCCAGACGAAACGCAAGAGTCGTTGTTGGCAACTTGTGGCTAAAATAACTCAAATCTTTCTAATTTCATGCTGAATCTTTTAGCATAACATATTCCAGTTAAAGTCTACCAAGAACCTCAGACAAGACAGACTATCATTTGAAAGAAATTATATTTTAAAGTCTCCCTAATACAAAAAGAAACATAAAAGTTAAGAAACAAGTATAATAAGGCAACAACAGCTTTATCTCCTCTGGTAGTCAGCTACTAATATCTTGAAAAGGAAATCTCCTTATAACCTATAAAAAGAGACTCAAAAGCTCATCGGCCATCTGCAGAATTGTCAATTAAACCTTTAATATAAATTCCAAAGGGAATAACCCAGGGAAGTCTTTTCTCTTTTCCAGTATAATTATAACAATAATTGCAAATTCCAAAATACAATAAAATTCTATTTAAGATATACTCCACTAATTTATTTATTTAGTAGCTCAAATTATACACCCTTTTGCATTGTCCATCCTTTTCCTTATATTTTAAAACTTAAATCACAGTTAACAAAGTATTTATCCTGAATCCAGCTATAAAAATTTTTACTATTTTTGCATTCAATTTTCCCCTAAAAATAAACACAATAATATATGTAAACTCCTAAAATAACAACCTCTGTTCCACTCTGCATTTACATTTGGTGTGTCCCCTAGAACTGCTGATATGTGATCTAAGTAAATTATGTTTCTTCTAAAAGGCTCCATTAATTTAAAAAAAAACAAACAAACAACTACATGCTACTAAAAACAAATTCAATAAATCTCAATCTGTGTTTCTGAAAAACATGCTATTTAAAGAAAACTGTTAAATGCCAGAACCAAATGTCAGAAGAAACTAAGGTTTTTTTTTTGTTTGTTTGTTTTTTCCCCCTTACAATAAGTACCTAAAGATTAAAATAAAATCTTTGGCTTAGAGAATATATATCATTCACTTCCATTTTAGGATGGTGTTTACCAAAATATCATAAACACTTAATAGCAACTATACCTAGTGCTTCCAGCAAAAGGCAGTAAAATGAAACATAAACCTCAGCTGTGAAAACCCATGAGTTTTGCTTTGCATTTCATCACTCTCTTTCTCCATACCCTGTTTAGGATAGCCCAGATTCTAATGATCACCAGAGACAGCTCAGCTGAATTCCAAACAGAAATATTATGAGCTCCAGTGAAACTATTAATCATTAAAATGGAGAGAACAACAATAGTAGTCAAATATTCAGTCACTGGTTCAAGTTGCCTTACTGGTAACTAAGACATACCATATTTGGAGGAGTGAGTAATCATACATTCCAATCCAAATTTTTATTTTACATTTCTTCTATAAGCTTATAAAACTTTCAAGCCATCAAGACGATGAGGAACTCCATGCCCAAAAGGAAGATGTTTCTGGGACTGTTTACGAAAACCTTAAAACTTGAAATCACAAATCTAGGCTCACTGGACACAACTTGCAAGAATTAACACCAAATCTCACTGACAAACAAAAGCCAGATCTTCAGAATTACACTGTATACACAATACCAAACAAAACCCCTTCTTAATCCCGTTATTCAAGATAAGGATGGCCTGCACTGGAATCAAGATTATGCCTTATAGTTTAAAAATATATCTAAAATTAACAAGCTTTTCCTGCTTGCAGAGAATTACTCACAGAATTAATTATTCCTTTGAGAGCTTGAAAACCACCTTTGACAGGGAAAACTTGTTCCTTGGAATCAGCAATTCTTTCGAGCTTTAGAAAAAAGGAGGAAACTTGATTAAGGGGTGGGTAAGACATAACCAAAAACCAAACCCATTGCTGTCAAGTCAGTTCCAACTCACAGCGACCCTACAGAACAGAGCAGAACTGCCCCATAGGGTTTCCAACACTATAGTCTTTACAGGAGCAGACTGCCACATCTTTCTCCCATGGAGCAGCTGGTGGTTCCAAACTGCCAACCTTTAAGTTAGCAGCCAAGCACTTAATCACTGTGCCAACAGGGCTCCTTGGTTAAAACATAAAATACTTTAAAAACTTCACTAAGTTTTTGGTTATGTTCATCTGAAAAATTACAACACTGGTGTAAAAAAATTAGTCTACCAGTGTGGCCTGTGGTAGAGGTCAAGAATTGAAAGCAGTGGTGGTAGTGTTACTTGAAACACACCACCACAAAAGGAACTGAGATCAGTAAGTTTATATTGCCCTCAAGTTGCAACACCAAAACAGTGCAGAGTTCAAAGATCTATAAACTGCATGAGTCACTGGAGTTTTAGCCACACTCCACCAAAAAGTTAAATGCAAAACAATTCTGAAAGTAGAAAAAAATAATTGTTTAAATATATAATCCCGCAAACTTTATCAAAAATGTTTTATTGTAAGAAATTCTAAGAAAAAATTTGAAAGACTTCTCTTTCTAAATCCCTGCACACCTGAGTCAAATTTTAAATCAATCTAAAAACCCTGCATAACACTGTCATAATAATCTTGTCAACTGAGTTAAAGAAAAGAAGCAGTAATCATATCACTTCAATACAAATTTTTATCTTATATTAGTTCCCCAATACCAGTAAGTATTTAAGAAATTTAGATTTTCATTTCCAGTCATGAAACCTATCATAACTCATAAATTCTTAATGCTGAGCTAAAGATATACAGCCAATAAGTTAATATTTTTATAGAAAATATTTAACAATTGATTAATGTCACAGTAAGTTATCTGTGAAAATAATTTGATAAACCATCCTTAAGACAATGACGTGATTTAGATTAAACTTTGCAGATCTGTTGTACTCACCTGAGCTTGTTCAAAATCAAGGACACCAACACAATAAACTCTAGCCCCAAGTGACCTGGATGTCTTTGCCTATCTCAGGAGAGACAGAGAGAAAGAGGAGAGTTATTCAAATACTAGGCTATACATGCAGAGACACACAGCAAAGTACCACAGGGTGTAAAGAACAGTTTCAGCTCGCTACTCACCTCTTTCTCTGCATATGATGGCACCAGACCTTCCAACTTACCATCTGTCAGAGCAATTATGATACTAGAGGTTTTTAAGCCTCCTGCTTTCTGAATTTGTTCATTTGCCTGAAAATGAAGAATAATTATCCAACTCATAATTTAATTTTAACTTTTAACCAGCATGTTTCATTAAGCCAAATTTGTAAATTTGACAAAATCAAAACATTACTAACTGGCTTTTAAGACAGGATCTTTGTATTAACTATATTTTACTTGAACTATTTATATATTCACATTAAAGGGTAGTAAGTATTTGGTTTAAGTGATACAGGTTTTTAGCTGTGGTTGACTATTCTGAATACAACCACTGAAAAATGGAAAATTCCTTAAAAGGCAAAAAGAAATCCAAACTTTTCTTATCACCAATACAACTAATTTTCTTCTATCACTCTCATCCCTAGGACAACTAAATGCAAACACAGAGAATATAAGATAAACATGTAGTGGGCTTTTGAGCTTCATTAGAGTTATAATGTATTGTCTCCCGCACTCATAAAGTAAAAGAACTTACTAGCTTTAGTCCTTCATGGATATATGTCTCTCCTACTGGACTAACACGTTTTAAATCTTCCAAGCCTCGGTAAATTTTGCTTCTGAAAATAATGGATTATAATATTAAACAAAAGGAAAATAACACTTCCCAAAAAGCATGGCAGCATTACAACCAAGTTTTCTTCAATAAGATGTAGAGAAAAGGACGTGAGCTTTGAAGGCAAATAGCTGCTCATACCTTTTTGCTATTTTAATAAGCATTTAGTAATTTCTCTATTTTAATTTTAAAAATTAAAAATGCTAACAATGTGAAATGTTTTTAAAAATCTAAGCATACTGTAGGCATTTTTAGCTGAGAGCAGTTATCTTCAATCATATTTGTTTTTACTAAATGCAAAGGAATAAAACATTTTTTCCCTCAACCACAAGAACACAAGGATTGAGTAGCTCAGCTTCAGTGGCACTTTCTCCAAAAGCATTTGTGAAATGCCCACACCACCTCACTGAAAGTAAGAAATTTTCTCTGATATCTCCAAATTCCTAAAGCACATTACTTAACCAAGACTTATATAGAAACTAACAATTTCTACTTGTGTTCACTGGGGTCACAAGTCTCATGATTTATTCACTTTTATGGCACCTCCCTACTCATCCAGACACCAGCACATTCTCTTGAATATAACACATACTTAATACATGTTTGAAGAATGAATGAGAGAATAAATGGATGTATGTATGGATGAATGTATGGATGGATGGATGGATAGGTAATAGCTACAAAAAAAAATGAAAAGCCATAGGATCTTTTTCATCTTGACTAATTCATTTTCGCAATGGAATATATCTAAATGGAATATGACTAAATTATTAACAGCTGCTTTGGGTGTGTGAGTAAACGAATATCCAATTTTCAGAGCTTTTGTATATATGCCGTCCCCGGGGTTATAAATGAGATCCGTTCCTAACTGTGTCTTTAAGGCTTTGAGTAGAATTTGTAGGTAAGTTGGAATAGATGCATAGGGTTCTTATTTAGCCTTTCTTTAGTGCAAGAAAAGGCTGGAAGGCTTTTCAATGATTTAAAAGCTGCCCCTGCAGCAAGTGAAGGTGATTGTGATGAAGAATTTGTTGAGGTTGTTTCAATAGTTTCAAAGTGAGGGCAAATTTACATAATATTAAAGGACAAGTAGGAGTTGTCTATATGTCAGACATTTGTAACCCGAGGACTGCCTGTAGTTCCAAACCCAAAAAACCCATTGCCATCGCGTAGATTCTGACTCATAGCAACCCTGTAGGACAGAGTAGAACAGCCCCACAGGAGCAGCTGGTGGATTCCAACTGCCAACCTTTTGGTTAGCAGCCAAATGCTTAACCACTGTGTCACCAGGGCTCCCCACTCGTAGTTCCAAAGACACCTTTAAAAAATAAAGAAAACCACAAGATTCTTAAAGAGATAAAACAAGGTTTCTAAAAACAATTCAAAGTTCTCTGAAAACTTCTTTTTAAAGGTTTCAGTATAAAAGATCAGAAGAGATCCTCTTGAGATATTATTTTCAGAATTTTAGTTATTCAATAGAAGCAAAGAAAATTGTCTTTCTAAATGGAAAAGTCTTGAACTAGTAAACTAAAGTATAATGCTTTAAACGAAATATGAATAGTCCCCACACTACCAAGGATGGTAGATGAAAGGAGATTAACTATAAAAAGAATATTACCCGAACATCAAGGAAACTACTGGAGCCACGTACACACTCACAGCATACACACGCACACGTGCACACACACACACATCACATGCGCTATTACAACACATATCAAAAAATAGTCAAAACTTATTTTTTCATGTTACAATGTTGTGTTTTCAAATACTGGAAAGAAATGAGCCATTCAGCAGAGACTTCCACATTCTTTAAAAGTCACTTTTTGCTTACATATTAATGTATGTAATGAAAATTATTACCAGTTCTCCATTCTCAAGGATTTTCCCCCAAAAAAAACAACTTTCAAAGCATGAGGTTAATATTCCCCCTTCCTAGTTCAGTCGTCTCTACCAACCCATGTTGACTGTCTCATTTAATACCTGGTTCAAAATCTAGTATTATATGAACTTTTCTCTAACTTTGTTACACTTTTTTTTCTGGGGTGCCCCATGCTTTCTATTCATACCCATATTCAACATTTAGTATGTTGAATCATTTTGTCTCTTAAAACTTGTCTACTTTAAAAGAATTTAACTGATTTAATATAATTTCATATTCTTCTCAACTAAACTGAAAGTTTACAGTAGGCTACCACTATGTCTCTTATTTATAATGTATCTCTCTAAAAACCAAAAACTCATTGCCTTTGAGTCAATTCTGACTCATAATCTACACTAATTACTTATTATAATGCATTTTGCAAAGTAAGTGTTTAATAAATTTTTCAATCCACCATTAAAAAAATCATAATTCTACAGATGATGGAGTAAATTACAAAAAGTATAAGCTTGCCTTATCTAAATATTTATGTTCAGTATCTTCAGAATGACTTGAAACTGATTCTATCTGAACACTGATATAAACCCAATATTTGCTGCTTCCCAGAAATGAGTGGCAGTGTGTCCTCAAGCATTAATGCTTGCTGCCAAAAGTAAAAATAAAAAAGACAACTGAAATTCAAGTTTACAGAAACAGATTTTGCATGGTAAAAATAGCCTTCACCATTCAGTTCAGATTCAGCTCACCATTAGTTATGAGACCAGACAGCAGCAACATTTTAAGGTGCGCCTCCTGCAGAAAACTGTAAACTGCCAAATGTGAGATTTAGAGTCTCTTGGCCTGTTGACTTCTTTCATTGGAAGATGCAAAGCAGAGCAGTTCTTGGTTTTGCACCCATATCCACAGCTTCCACCATACATTCTAAGATTCACAGAATCCCATCCTTACTTCTGAAGCTGCATAGTCATAGGAGGAAAGTGCTCCTTGCTTATAGCCAATAGCATCAACACACATGAGTCCTGGTCTTGAAGTCCCTTCAAGGTAACTATGCAGTTTATTGGTCTCTCCTCAAACAACATGGTGTTACTTTGGGGAAAATGGAAACCAAAACAAGACTGGGCAGATCACATGTCTTCAAAGGATCCTAGTCAACTAAAAAGAAGTTCTAAGGTTATTAGTAAGTAGTTCCAGTAAGCAGTTAAATGGGGAAAAAGCAAACTGATGTTGTAGGTTAACAGCAGAACTTACTGATCTACACTCTAAAGGAAAGCAGGAGGGAAAATGATAAAAATAAAAAGAAGAAAAAGATTTGTTAACAAAAAATCAGCTTGAATCCAACAACATTTGTGAATATCAGCTTCACTGAGTTCAGCTTTAGTGCTACGTCTTCAACTACAAAGAACAGTAATATTGAAACTACTTTGGTGTTTGTTGTGAAGCTGTTGTCAAGGATGCTGCTATCATGACATGTGATGTATCTTATAAGGTCTCACAGCAGAAATTTGTCACTCCTGAGTAATTGCTATACACTTCCTCCTTTCTGCTAATTACAGCTATATAAGCTTTGTCTACTTTCTCTGGCTACCGGGAAGCCCACAGTAAAATTCTTACTCATTCGCAAAGTCTGCTAAGTTCCTATGGTTATCATATTGCTTTATCCTCATGGTCTTAAGTTTTCTTTTTATATATTCTTTTGCAGTATTGTTATGTTCCATGCAGCCTCAAATACTTTTTGGAAAGAGGCAGTATTTAAACAAATAAAATATTAAACCTCTGACATTTTATTGAGAATCAGGTGATCCAACTCTATAAACAACTTTCTTCTTTACTTGATAGTTATATTGATTGAAAAACAAGAAAGAGAGAGAGGAGGCAAACACATACTGCCTCATTTTTTTAATCTACGGAATTAACTAACACTGTCAATTCTGATAGTATTTCTCAAACAAAAGGAAAGGAAGGGAAGGAAGAGGAGCAGAGGGGAGGGAAGGGAAGGCAAGGGAAGGCAAGACAAGGGAAACTAAAGGAAGGGAAGGGAAGGCAAGGGAATGGAAGAGAAGGCAATGAAAGGAAGGGAAGGCAAGAGAAGGGAAGGGACTGCAACTACAACAAGCTGCCATGCATTGTACTACATCAGTGGCTTTTCTGCATCCACAGAACACTCTGATTGTGGAAGCAGTGCATGACTTCATAAGTAAAATAATATATTGAGATAGTGTCATAAATAAAATGATTGGCAGATAATTCTGACTTGCCCAACTTAACACAATTAAGACATAGTTTTATTTTAAGTACCTTTTACTAGTGGCTAACGATGCAGTTTTATACAACGTATCTGTATTGTACTTGAACTTTCCAAAGCACATCAACTTAACTTTACAGATAATTTCAAAGCTCTTTCCAGATTCCAGTCATACATCTGCTGAGCACCTACCACATATGAACACTGTAATTCTATATGGTGATAGGAGAATGACTGACACATAGTCCAGTGGCTACACTTAATGCTTATCTCCACAATTGCCGTGCAGTTCTTGGCCCTGACTATGCACTGGAATCACCTGAAGTATTTTTAAACACTCCATCCTGAGCTCTACTTGAAGAGATTCTAATTTACTCAGCTTGTGCTAGGGACAGGGCATCACTATTTTTTGACAATGCCCCCAGGGTATTCTAACGTGCATCCAGGATTAAGAATCTCTAATAAAATCTATTTACAAAAAAAAAACTTTCCCATGCAGTTGGAATGCTCTTTCTCTTACCTATTTTGCCAGTCAGTCCATCTAGTTAAAGAGTTTTGGGGTTATTAAGAAAATCTTTTAAACTGTAAATACGGTTTCTGCAATGATATTTATAACATAATGTCATATGGCAGCTTTGGGCATTCAGAAAGAGAGGAAAGAAGAGAAAGGGGGTGAGAAGTACCAAAAACAAACTGTTTTCATTATAGTTTCTCCTTTGCACTGCTATTTTGCTTTTCTAGGAAACCTGGAATTGAGGTGACAATACAGCTGGATTTGAGGTGACAATACAGCATAATGGATAAGACCCCAGGCTGTGGAGCCAGACTGCTTGAGTTCAAAGTCTAGCTCCTTCACTTACTAGGTGTGTGAGCCTGGAAAAGT